CATTGTCACGTGGTACATAGCAGCTACGTGGAATAAGCGTATCCTCTCAATCTTACACGTTACACATCAGGAGCTCCGCTTTTATAGGCAGTTCATAAATCTGAATATTATAAAAACGTTATTTGTGGTGAGCTACAGTGTCATTGACACTTTCATTTGTGGAAGCATTGGGGGACAGGTGCAGTTACGAAACCTGGCATAAATTGTTCTATAGCTCTGCAGCAACTGTACGCGGGCTATAGAACTAGAGCTACTGTCTAGAGTACCGATAAAATGTCGTAGAACCTTTGTACTGAGCTATATAGGTATATTCTCTAAAACGTGCACGATTCGAATTTTGCTTACTTGTTAATATTATGGCTGCCATTTCTTGCGAATCTCGGACTAGCGGTAGCTATCGGCCAATTTCAAAAGCTTGGTTGTCATTCTAACATTTATGCAATGACATTCTAACATAGAATATTAATTTCCATTAATTTTCAGAGAATAATAGTGACAAAAACTTTTGTCTCCAAACTTAACGGACGTGACACTTAAAAAAGTATAGAAATCGTTCATCTTTGACTATTAAAATATAAAGTATTAAAACATCATTTTGACACTCGTACATACACCATTATATACACAGGCTAGAAACACAAGAAATTCAACATTTTCATGTCCATATTTATTATTTACCTATGATTGATTACGTGAAAGCCAATAAAAATGACATCAGAACTAGCTCTCAACATCCAACTTGTCCTCACACTTTACTGTGTATCGATACCTCTTATTATGTAGTTATAGCTTCGAACGTCAGACGTGGTTTCACTAATAGTAATAAATACCGCGAAGAGTCGATCATTCGCGTCCTGTAGTGCAACAAGAAGCAGCTTTCTCTTGAGATACCCGTTGTCGGGGTTCGGCGGGGATTTGCAACTCGCAACCAGCTCCAAACAAAGTCAGTAAAAACTTAAACTAACATGAATGCGGCACATTCACAAAAATTACCAGTTTATTACACTTCCACTAGAATTGTGTCACTGTATATATCGACTAGCTTCACAAAAAACTAGCAGCTCCCACCACTCGCCGTTGCGGCGGGCGTGCGGGTGTGCGGGGGTCGCTACTATTACTGATATATATATATAGTAATCCCTGCTGAACCACGCCAACAGATAGGAAAGCTGCCTCTTGTTGCACTACAAGATGCGAATGATCGACTCTTTGCGGTATTTATTAGTGAAACCACGTCTGACGTTCGAAGCTATAACTACATAATAAGAAGAGGTATCAATACACAGTAAAGTGTGAGGACAAGTTGGATGTTCAGCGCTAGTTCTGCTGTCATTTTTATTGGATTTCTCTTAATCAATCATAGGTAAATATGGGCATGAAAATGTTGAATTCTTGTGTTTCGACTTTCGAGCTTGTCATACTCCTGATTACATATTACATGTATACACATACACACACACACACACACTTACATTTAGGAAACACACTGATAAATGCAATAGTGTTGAGTAGTTAAAATGATAAATTTTCTGAGCGATACAGTACAAAACAGTGCATACAACATGAAGAAAAAAATAGATACAAGAAATAAAACTTCAGCGTGTTCTGTACAAGTAAAGTGATTTTAGGTAAAACATCATTTCGACACTCGTACGTACACCATTATATACACATTACATACATTACCAGTGCCTGAAATGGACGGTCGCCCACTCGCCACTGGCGACCAATGTCCAGCTCGGGCGACCGAAAATTGCATAGTCAAGTAGTCACTGGCCCCCCAAAAAAGCTTGGGCGACTGCCAAATATTTCAACAATTAAAAAAATTTACTGATATGTTTGCAAAGTGAACAATCAAATATCTTTTCTTGAATTATGAATAACACGAATGGATTGAAATATTTAATTAAAATATCTCAAAATAAACCTTTATTTCGGTGCAATATTGAAATTAGCTTGAATTCTTCATAACCTCGGAATAGTGGGTGACCCAACGGGTCACGGGTGGTCTAGACGCTTATTCGAGATCTTGTTCGGATAATCCGAAATTCGGATAATTGATGTTCGGGTAACCGAGGTTTGACTGTATATAATTATATTCTATTATTTATGCATTTACCATCATAATATACTATAAAATTCTAGGGGGGAAGTATCCCTTTAAAACTGGTAGTAAATACATTCGTGTTTATTTACCATCATTTTATTAGCTCATCTGACGAAGTCAGATGCAGCTTGTAGAATCGCATGATTGTCCGTCCGTCCGTGCGTCAACAGTTGGGCACAAATCTTAACCGCTCGACGTACGGTCACGATACTCGGGACATGGGTGGGAGATCGTGAAAAGGACTCGGGATGATTAATTTGGGGGTCAAGGGTCAAAGGTCAAGATGTGTAAACGGAGGGGGAATATTTTCCCCTTAACTTAAGGTATAGGAGGAAATACGGAATTGCGGCACAAATCTGAATGGCTCGACCTATGCTCTTAATATTCGGTGTATAGTGTGATGGGCAGGAAACCCATCACCAGTGCGAAATTGGAGGTCACAGGTCAAAGGGCAGTGGGGGAAAGGTCAGATATCAGACATTTTCTGAGGACGTGGCCTAACGGACAGAGTGAAAAACTTTTTTGTTTCAGCGCTGACCTACCATTTTTATCACTTTACAGGGTTAGATACTAACTATTTTAGTTCATTAGTCCACAGGACTAGTAAAAGAAAAAATGTACTAGTCCTTCCAAGATTTTACTAACTAGTCCTGCCGAAGGACTCTTACTAGGCGCAGAGCGACGAGCATTGTGATTTGCCAGGAGGTAAGTGGGGTAGGAGGGTGGAGCCCCCTTCTGCTAGGGGGTACAGGGGGTCTCTCCCAGGGTACAAGTGGTGTCCCCCTGAAAGGCTTTGTAAAAGACATTCAATTGTATAAAATATACGTAACTTTGATATGGATCATAAGATTAAAATTAAAATTAAATTAAATTTTAATTCGAAAATAAAATTTCGGCAAAGGAATCTGTGGATCCGTCACTTATCACAGCAAGGAATTTGGCCTCATTTATTGCTCCAAACTGTTTCCTGCGCCTTGTATCGGCTATCGCCGGTGGGGTAAGTGCTGCCGACATCTAACCCCTTGGCCTTGTCAAGCTGGCACAGCTTGACGTAATTGGTGTAGACTGTAGGGCCTGCCGTTTTATAGCCTCGTCTACACGACGAAATTTAACTCGAGTTAAGCGTCTATATGGGGCCTTAACTCGAGTTAAGATAACTCGAGTTGGCTTAACCTCGCCAGTCGATCGAGGTTAAGCTAACTCGAGTTACCATAACTCGAGTTAGCGAATAGTACATAACTCCACGATGGGCGGCAACACTAGTACGAATCTACGATGTACGCACGCACACACTCATGCACGCACGTGTACGTGCACACGCACGCACACACTCATGCACGCACGTGTACGTGCACACGCACGCACACACGTCTACGTGCACACGCACGCATGTGTACATCCAAACGCACGCACGCACGCGCACATGCACACACGTGTACCTGCACACGCACGCACGTATATGTGCATACGCACGCTCGCACGTTTACATACGCACGCACGCATGTGTACGTGCACACGCACGCACGTGTACGTGACCACTCACACACGCACGCAGGCACGCACGTGTACGTTCACACGCACGCACGTGTACGTTCACACGCACGCACGTGTACGTTCACACGCACGCACGTGTACGTTCACACGCACGCACGCACGTGTACGTG